CCAATCTTTTTATACGGGTCTATTGGAGTGTCTATTGGTTTGCATCCAAGCATACCAGTTTCTTTCAATAGGTCCAATGTGTACTTCCTTTGAGTTACGGCTATCCCCATTTTGGATCTTGCAACTTCCATTCCCAAGAAGAACTTCAAGTCTCTGAGGTCCTTGATTTCGAATTCATGGGCTAGAAACTTCTTCAGCTTTGTCAATTCTCCAGTATAATCACCGATAAGAATGATGCATCAACATACACAATAAGTACAGCAATCTTCTTCTCGGATCGTTTTGTGAACATTGTATGATCAGTCTGACTTTGAGTATAACCGTACTTAATTACTGAATTAGTGAATCGGGCAAACCAAGCACGGGGAGATTGTTTGAGACCATACAGAGATTTCTGGAGCTTGCATATTTTGCCACTAGGGAAGGACCCTTCAAGACCAGGCGGTAAATCCATGTATACATCCTCTTCAAGATCTCCATTAAGGAATGCATTTTTGACATCAAGTTGCATAAGGGGCCAGTCTCGGTTTGCTGCAATGGAGAGTAGGATTCTAATGGAGTTCAGTTTGGCTACTGGGGCGAATGTCTCTTGGTAGTCAATTCCGTATGACTGAGTATAACCTTTTGCAACCAGTCGGGCTTTTAACCGATCTATGCTTCTGTATGTCTTACATTTGATTGTAAATAACCATCTGCATTCTACTGGTCTCGTATCCTTGGGCAAATCAGACACAATCCACATTCCACTCTTTTTTAGTGCAGCAACTTCATTCACAGTTTTTCTCCATTCCGGATGAGAGAGAGCTTCCTGAATAGAATTCGGAACTTTTATGCTATCAATAGCAGTAACAAATGTATGATAGAGAGGAGATAACCTCTCATATGAAAAAAAATCGGGCAATAGGATATTGAGTGCAAGGAACATCAGAATCATCTTTCACAGGCGAGGTAAGCTCATAATCACTAGTGTCTATAGATTTCATACCTGAGTGAGTTTCAGAGGGTTTTTGGAGCCGGATTAGATTCTTGGACAGCAGCTGGAAGCGGTGTTAAGTTCTCTATTCTTTCAGCAGTTCTGTTTCGTCTTGTATAGACCCGAAGTTCCTGAGAAGTGTAGACTGAGGAGATTGAAGAGGAGAAGGTGTGGGTTGTGTAGACTGAGGAGGTTGAATAGGAGATGGAGGAGGTTTTACAGTCGGTGAGGGACCCGTGTCAGTTGGTAAAGGAACACAGGGTTGTTGTTCACTACGACTACTCTTCCCCTGAATGACAGACCTTTGGTAGTATAATTGATGCTAAGAAAATGTGACATCCATAGAATTATAGACTTTTTTAGTTGAAGGACAATAACACTTGTAGCCTTTATTGTTGGTCGAATACCCTATGAATATGCATTTGACATATTTGGAGTCTAATTTACTGCGGTGTTGTTTGTGAATATGAACAAAAATGGAGCAATCAAATAGTTTGTTAGGGACAACTGAAGAGAGTGTACAGGTATTTGGAAAGGAGCGAAGGAGGATATCAATTGGACTACGGCAACCCAGAAAACGAGAGGGCATCCGATTTATGAAGTAGGCAGCGATCAATGTCGCCTCGCCCCAATAACATTTAGGGACCGATGTGGTAAACATGAGACGGCGAGCTACCTCCAATAAGTGACAATTTTTCCACTCGACAACCCCATTTTGTTCGGGAGTATCAACAGCCTGTTTGCAGGTTACAGACGTACGCAACTCTGCGTACGTCTTATGTACGCAAATTTTTTCCGCCTGAAGGTGACCTTTGCTTTTTCGGAGAAAGCTTCACGAATTGTTGGAAGAGGTTTATATGACAGAGTCTTCGGGACACTTCCAAGGGTACACCTCGAATAGATCTAGTCCCTGCCAATACCGAGTAAGAGTATTGAAGTATTGGGTGACGGAGAGATCACCTTGAAGAAAGTCGTGAAGAATGGTCTTAACAGCAAATAGTTCGCTTGCATTGTCCGCACTAGAATAGGTCTCACGGGCAGCATCCCAGATTTCCTTAGTCATGCCATAGAGAAAGAAAATTTTCGCCAATATCAAGTGTCATCGAGTTAACAAGTCAGGCCATAACCATATTATTCTCGGATTTCCAAGTCTTGTATGACGGATCTGTCGTCATCGAAGTTGGAGCATCACCAGTGAGGTAATCATCTTTGCCTTTGCCGCATACAAATATCATGACTGACTGCGACCATTGGAGGTAATTCTGGCCGATGAGTTTGTGGCTATGAGAACATAATTATTGTCTGAATTGATGGGTAATGGAGACCCAGCCGCGGAGGGGTGGCTAGAAGTGACATCACTAGTGGAGGAGGAGTTGCAAGCATGGTCGTACTTAGTCATTGGAGAGGAGAGGTGGCCAGCAGAATGACCAGAGATGAGGTTGCGCCGACGAGGAGCATGGCTGGAACGGGCTATGCTTGATCGCGGAAGAAGAGTCGGCGCTCAGGTGCGGACAATCGCGGGAGAGGTGCGCACTAGGGCTCCGTGCGTTCGGATGCGGTCGATCGGTACGTGGACGATTGGACGAGGAGCAGCACTTGGCTTCGCCACCAGCGCGAACAGAAAAGGTACCAGAAGGCTTCAGTCCGGCGAGTTCGCAAAGATCAGAAGGATCGGGGAGCAGAGGTCTCGGGCAGGAAAGGCAAGGAGCAGAGTTCTATTCAGAAAATCAAAGATTCCTTGACGAAGTACGGCGCTCGAATGTGGACATGGACTCGGATGCGACGCTATGACGATCGGAGGCATGATCAGACGATCGCGGGAGAGAAGGGTCGTGCGAGCATAGTAAGAGAGGCTTCCCTTTGATGGCTCTGATACCATGTGAATTTTGAATAATCCTTTTTCTCAATGAATACATAGATAATTCACTTATAAATAGGTGAGTACAAGAAATAGAAAGAGGAAAGAAATCTTCCTACAATTAAGTAATTCCTATAATTACGGAATAAACATAAATACCTATAATTAAGAAATTATCTTTTTTATATTATGACTAAATATAGCAAGTACTAAATAGAATTAAAGTAAATAATAAGGAGCGTAATTCCACAAATCCTAATCTAAGGAGAAACATAGAATTAGGCCACTAAAAAAAAATAATAACAAAAATTGTTGTACACCTGTTTAATCATTTAGATGCTCATTTACTTGCATTTATAGGTTTAATTCTACAATTTTTTTAATATTTGAAGAAAGTTAAAACAAAAATTTACCCCCTTGTTGATATATCATATCCTTCAAGGTGTGTTGTATTCTAACACTATGATGAGCACATGTGCAATAAATTTGACTCCACGTTGGGTTGCTCATTACCACTACCTTTGGCAAACACCTAAGAATATGATTGTCACTGCTTTAAATTCTTCAAGAAATTTATGTGAAATAAAGAAACCAAATTCACCTGACACAAATAGAAAATCTACACATGACCAAACCTCAACAATATCAAAAGAATGTCTAAACCTTCAAAGAAGATCGTCTTAGAATGTGAGCCCTTGGATCAATGTCTAACCACAAATGTTTAGCATAACAGGTTCATGATAGTGTGATGTTCTAATTCTGAAGAATGCTACATTAATGAAAATGATCGTTTGTAAGAATATAAAAAGAGCCAATACCATGCTGCATCATGACTGCCGCTTGTTGAGACCATATTAGCAATTCTTTCCCAGCAAAAGATTACAAAGGCTAGACCAATTGTACTTCTCAAACAGAGAACCAAGATAAAACCTTCACATTTTTTTGCCTGAAAATGCATTAAAAATCATTCACTTTTGGTAATCAATTTGTTATCATGTTTAAATTATCTCATCATATATACTAATAATTTATAGTAGGACTTTGCACCATCATTTCCATATTAGTAAGGACATTATCCTATATTATTATTTCTGTATTGTTTTCTTCATCTAAATTAACATATTTGCTTCTTATTAGTATTAGAAATTTATACTACATATTACTGTAATATGGAGTAAATTCTTCTTTCTTTATGTTCTCATTTATCGTTCACTAATATTGGGTGTGCGCGTGCGCGCGCGTGCATACACACACACACATATATATAGGGGTCACCTGGATTATTGCAAAGGGAATGCAAGAATCGCTTGGCAAAATGAATGCTGCAGATTTGACAACATTTACTTTGTGCAGATAGCTAAAGAAAATGACTATATAAAGGAAAGTAACATTGTTTTATTAATATTTTTTATGGGCCAAATAAAAGATATTCACTTGACTTATAAACACTTTAGCTCATGTCTCACCAACCCAAATAAACCATAAAAACAATACATGCCTTGAGCTTGCAATTAAAAACCATAATCTGAAAACAATATAGACTGATGTCTAAAAGTCACCTCGACACGAGAAATGAGCTTAGGATGTGCTCACATCTGGACAGGCAACAAAAGCCACTTACAAGTGGTAGGAAACCATTTCACAAAGAATCCAAGTTAAGAAAACAGTGCGGGTAGAGTCTAATTTCATAATTTTTGGGAGACATCCAGCGACATAACAAACTCCACAACCGGCAGTTTAGCATTTGAAAGAAAGTTTCCATTGAATGAACCAACAACAAGCATCCAAAGGGAAAACTGAAACAGGTGGGTCATTACCTCAAGAAACAACTCTCGGGAGGAAATCTCGCAATGACGAGGCCTAGACTGTTCTTGATTTTTTATGGCATTTTCTTGTTATCATGCTTCTCTCGATCTTTTCTTGGTCCTTAATTTCTAGTTATTACTGAAATTTTGAAGAGTATTAGCGATAGAGTTGACCTAGTTCATTAAAAAAGCTCAACAAAATGGCCCAAATATCAAGAAATACATATATAACAGTTGCTGAAACCTAAAACCGCTATCAACTAATTGTCTTTATGCACGAAAGATTTCTTTTCATCCAGCAATTTAGTAAATAGCGACAATTTTCAACAGACTTCATGGTTAAATTGTTAATCATGATATCAATGTATGTATAAAACATAGTAAAAAAGAGCAATTGCATCATAACAGCACATATAAAAGAATGACTCAAAGAATTTCCATCAATAACAGTATGGTGTAGATCACTCAATGTGCCCCACATTAAATAAAAATAATGATTGTTACCAACCTAATCAAGTTCACCAACCTCTCTCATAATAGCAGTCACAAATACAAGACTTCTCAGTCCAGCTATACCTACAAATGAACATGTCCATCAATTTTCTGCTAAAACTGATGTTGCTCACTGTACTTTACATAGGGATAAACTATTATTCCTTTATATGAAAAAAGTTAATTTTCAAACAATCAATTCTCTATATCAGAATCGTCAAATACAAGATCAAGATTATTGATGTCGATCTACTTTAGGAGTCAAGTTAAGTGATGCAGTGGCTCTAACTTGAATATGAAGCACAGGCTTGGGGAAAATTGCTCATCACATCACTCTATGTGCCGGTGATAACATTGCACCCAACTCCAACTCCCCCAAAATCCTAGTTCAAATTTCACAGTTTATTTCCACAAAAATGAAGGCACGAATGAATGCTTCTCCTCAATGGTTGATACTGGAACAACCCGAAAATAAGCAAATGTGATTATTATTGTTGGAATTCATAAAGAAACACAATGGTTTATAAAACTTGAAATAAAATGACACGAATACAAACGGGACTCTAGGACGAGAGCAAAGAGGATGGACTCCGGCTCAGCAGGTGTGGGTGGTTTGAACGGCGATGGCAACAAGTAAGTGAAGACAGGGGAAGAGGGATACGGTAGTAGGTAGAAGGCGGAAGGGCCCTGGCGGCAACAAAGAATGAGTAGGAAGGTTGGGTGGCAACAGAACAGGCATAGAAGGGACCTGGCGACAACAAAGAAGGTCTAAATGGGCTTGGCGGCAATAGAGGTGAGGTGTAGGAAAGCTGGGAAAAAGTAGGGAAGGTCTATGTGGGTTGGGTGGCGGCAAAGTGATCCACAGGAAGCTGGGCGGCAACAGGAAATGCACAAGAAAGCTGGGCAGCAGCATAGAAAAAGGATTATGGTGCAAGCTTGATGAGATAACCAACACCTTGGAGCAGAATACAACCAGAACACTACCTGTCCTCGGATACATCCCTAACAAGGGAGAAGATACCTGACAGCAGGAACTCTAAAATCAGAACAAACAAAATTAGACCCTAAACTCAACAACACACATTTTTTTAATGGTAGATAGGCAGGAAGGAAAAGGAGAGGAGGGTGAACTTGGGTGGTAAGTCCCACCTAAAGGAAGGAATCGGCCGGTCCAACCTTCTATTGGAACTGAACACTTGGTCGGTTCAAGCAAGTAGGCCGGTCCAGCCTAGCAAGCTCCTGCGTCTATCTCCCAGGGTTTGGGGAGCTTCGACTTCATCCGCCGAAGCTTTTGCATCTTCATAATATGACGTCAGATCAACAACATTAAATGTGGTCGAAACATTATAATCTCTTGGCAGGTCGATCTTGTAGACATTATCATTCAGCTTCTAGAGTATTGTGAAAGGTTTGTATGCTCTAAGCTTGAGTTTTTCGAATGCTCATATTGGGAATCTCTCTTTCTTCAGCCAAATCCACACTAAGTTTCCTTTAAAAGTCACATGTTTCCTTATCTTGTTTATTTGTGTCTAGTACTGACGATTCTACTTTCTCTTTTTCGACTTTCTCGTGGAGTTTCTTAATCCCGTGCACCCGTTCCTCTGCATCCTCACTAATCTCTGACATTGGTGGGAGCGGTACAATTCCAGTGGAGTGAGCAGGTTGTGCCCATACACGACGTCAAATAAAATGCGGCTCATGGTCTGACTTATGGATCTACTGTATGCAAGCTCTGCTGAGAGAGAATCAAATCCCACTGTTTGATATTCTTCCTGACAAAGCATCTCAAAAGATTTCCAAGACTCCTATTTACTACCTATGTCTAGCCATCCGTTTGAGAATGCACTGCGGAACTAAATCGAAGCTTGGTGCCTAATTTTCCCACAGAGTCCTCCAGAAGTGACTCAACAACTTGACATCCTCATCTGACGTGATGTTCCAAGGTATCCCATGTAGTCTCACAATTTCTCTAAAGTACAAGTCGGCGACATGCAGGACATCTAGTGTCCTGTGGCATGGTATGAAATGTGTCATCTTCAACAATTGATCCACGACAACCATGATTAAATCTTTATTTTGTTGTGCCTTTGGAAGTCCCACTCAAAGTCCATGCTAACGTCCACCCACGGTGTCTCGGTATGTTAAGGGAGTAAATAACCCCGCATTCTACCCATTGATTTTTGTCATATGACAAATTCTGCACCACCTGATATGTCGCTCTACATCTCCCGCTAGTCGGAGCCAAAAGAAGTATTCTCTCAGAAATGCAAGAGTCTTGTTCCTGCCAAAGTGTATTATGAGTCCTCCACTATGACTCTTTTAAGACGATAGACTCCATCAACGAACATCTAGGAATGCACAATTTACTATGATAAAACCATTAACCATCGGCTGTGTATTACTGTTCGATGGGCTTCCCCTAACGCTGCTCCCAATTTTTTTTAGAAATCTTAGTCTATCTCATAAAGCTTTTTTAATACCTGAAAGCCCACAACGCGAGCATGCATCGCAGTGATCAAAAAGTGTCGGCGGCTCAGTGCATCTGCCACATGGTTTTGACTCCCCCACCTTGCACGAAAGCACAAATTAGAACGATACTAACAAATCCACCCAAGTCATGTGTCAACCCTTCAATTTACTCTAGTTGTTTAACATTTGAAAATTTCATGGTCTGTGAACAACGTGAACTCACTTGTTAGCAGGTAATGGCAAGAGCTCTCACAAAAACATAAAATTTCTCATCATATGTCGAGTATTTCCCCTATAATCATTTGGTTCCTCATTGAAAAAAGTGATGGAGTAACCTCCCTGGATAAGCACTGCTCCTATCCCCACGCCGAATGCATCACACTCTACCTCGAAGAACTGGTTGAAGTCTGGTAGAGCTAAGACTGGCACCTGGGTCAGCTTCTCCTTGAGTGTACTGAAACTACTCTGAGCTGCCTTTGTCCACAGGAATTTATCTTCCTTCAAAAGATCCATCAAAAGGGTGGTGGTGGTGCTAAAGCTCCAGATGAATCGCTTGTTAAACAATTCTAGTCCCAAAAACTGTCTCAGCTCGATGAACAACTTCGGTGTGGTCCAGTTTACAATGGTCTAGATTTTTGTCGAATCCATCAGAAAGCCTGCACTAGACACAATATAACCCAAAAAACATACTTAGTCTGTCATGAAGTAACACTTCTTTGAATGGGCATATAATTTCTCTGCACGCAATACCTCGAAAACCGTGCATAAATGCTATAAGTGTTCCTCCTCAAATCGGTTGTACATCCCAATGTTGTCAAAGTAGACCACCACAAATGTTCTAAAGTGAGCCCTGGATACCTGATTCATCAACCTCATAAAAGTGTTTGGCGTGTTTGTCAAGCTAATGGGTATAACAATGCACTCATATAAAGAATCTCGTGTTTAGAACATGGTCTACCACTCATCTCCTGGTCTCATTCGGATCTGGTTATATCCATTACGTAAGTCGATCTTGGAAAAGATGGTGACTCCATGTAACCAGTCCAAGAAATTGTTCAGGTGAGCCATGGGAGCTGGTACTTGATAGTGATCTTGTTGATGGCTCTACTGTCATTGCACATCGGCTACGAACTGTCCTTCTTAGATATCATTAGAGCTGTGACAACACATGGACTAGTAC